GATGGAGCAGGAGAAAGGTGGGGTGCAGAACTCAAATTCTAGTAAGAAGACCAGACTTAATGGTCTGACTGAGACTAGAGGAACCCCAGAAAGCATGGCCACTGGATTCTCTATCAGCCAAGAGCTAACACAATTTCCGAGGCCAACTCTTCAGACACGGATTGGACTGGACTGTGGGACATAAAGTGATAATCCTGAGGAGTGTGCCTCTTAGCTCAAGTAGATACAAGAGACTAAACGGGCAGCTTCTGTCCAGAGGTGAGATGGGAAGGCAGAGAGGGTTCGGAGCTCGTTGAATGGACATGGGGAACCAGGGGTGGAAAGGAGGAGTGTGTTGTCACAGTATGGTGAGAGCAATTAGAGTCACATAACAATGTATGTATAAATTTTTGTGTGGGGAAAAAAGAAAAAAATAATAACATTTTTAAGACAAACAACTGTATTTTTCAAAATAAAACAAAAATTCTAATGAGAAGAGTAGTTTCACATTTTTACAAATCTCTTTAATGTATAACTTAATAATAGACAAATGGATTTTGACATGTGCTTTTGCAATCAATCTGTTATGTTATTTTGGATGGTATAGATAAAATCTGGCCTCACACAGATACGTAATTGAAAAAGAGAGAAGTATTTTAATAGCTTTTCAAATAACTGTGGATATTGTTCCTTGACACTATGCAAAACTCTTCAAGAGTAATTTCTTAAAGATTAGATAGGTACAGTGTTGGAATCTGAAACCATAGCAATAAATTTTTTGTCCTGTTACTTTAAAATCGATTGATCTTCCACTCTGAATGGGATCTTTTACTCACAATGATTTTGTAACATGTATTAATCAGCTGGAAAATATGGGTTCACTAAGTTATGTAGATTGTCCAAAAACTGACAAATTTAATCATTTAGGGTCAATAAATCACATGTCAGTATCGCCTCCAATTTCATTAGTAAAGCTTTTAAGTAGTAGAAAGTTGTCAAGCTCACAGTGGCAGATACAAGTTTTCCAAAACTCTAATATTTACTTGAAAGCTCAAATTTTATCACCAGCAACAAATACTATCAATTGTTTACCTTTGTTCACTTTTGAGAAAAGGTCTGCCAGATGCCTACAACTGAATAACCAGTTTTTGTGCCAGTCAGTCTTTCAAGTACATCCAGTTAAGCTCATAAATCAAACAACTGTACAAGTCACTTTATATTTACTTCCCGCTTTATCACAAAATATTGACTCAAGGGTTGAAATTTAATAAAAATTATTTAATTTTTACTGCTTCATCAAGGACATTCTCAAGTGAAACTGGTGCACCGTTTCACTATATATATGTATTTTTTTACTAAGTGTACGGCAGTGAATGATCACGAATACAGTTTGCTTCCACTGCCTTGTTTCACACCACTGTGCCAGCATGATCTGACACTGCTCACTGCTGCTTCCTTTTCCAACAGTCTCCCTTCACTTTATCTTCCAGGCACCCTAAACTGCTCATAGTTTCCCAAATGCACCAAGCCAGTTTCTCTGCTGAGAATGTTCTCCACCCACCTTGGATCTCTGCCAAATGTCCATTCAACTTCTAAGATTTGCTCAGGTCTCCTCTTCCCCCATAAGCCTTCCCTGACTCTTCGTCACACACTCTCCACAAATGCCCTTGGAGTCGCTCATCCTCTCTTCAGTAAGCCTGCTGTGCCTTTTAGGTATTTCCACTGTTAAGCTCAGTATGTTGGTGTAACTTATCTTCCATGTACTCCCCCTATGAAACTATGAATTCCCCAAACAAAGGGGATGTGTTCTCACTCATCTGTGTGCCCAGCACCCTCTGTAGTACCAGTGGAACTGATTAAAAAAGAAAGACTCCACAAGACATTTAATCCTTCACTCGTGGGCTCTGAGTAAGATCTGAGCCTCTCATGTTTGAGTGACACTAACTTCCATGGGATTCCCCTCCACCCTGTCAAACAGTGGGAATACTGTTACACTTGAAGGGAGCAAGATTATGACGAGCCTAGAATGTCAAACAAATTTACACTCTGTCCTACTGAAAAAAAGAGTCATTTGAGACTTTTTAAGCAGATAAAAATACAATCAAAAGAATATGGAGAAGTATAGTCTGAAACAGGATATGGAAACGATGAGCAGTGTGAAAGCCTGAAAAGAGAAAGATGAATTAGAACGCTATCAGTACAGTCCAAACACACGGCCAGGCCTGCTGCCTCTCTGTCCTGAACCCCTGCAATCTGACTCCTAACCCCACCACAGTGTAACAGAGAAGTCAGACCAACATGGATATGAATCCCACTCCTGGCTCATTTGCGGGTTACCTATCACTGGCAAGGTATTAACCTTGTGTTTATTTCCTCACTCATAAAAGGAGGACAAAACCATCTTATTCAGAGTCATGTTAAAGGTTAAACAACACAACTTCTGCAAATAATTATTGTCATGATAACAATGACAGTTAATAGTAGTAGCAGCAGGTAACATATATTGAGTGCTTACTCCATGCCAAGTATTGAGTGAAAGGTTTTATTTAATGTCACTGGAACTGCTTAACCAAGAATCTTGTACATAGTAGGTCCCTGATAAAAGCCAGTTCCATAAAAACTAATCAGGAATGGGAAAATATGTATGAAATGAAAGAAAATATGCATGCATAGCTTTCCCCACCAAATTCTAAGCTATTCAAGAGCTTCAGAGTTGGGCCTAAATAAATTTTAAAATATACTTTAACTAGTGTAATGTCATATTAAATCTTTCTTTTCCAAAGAGAAGTTACTTTTTACTCAAATTCCAAACTTAAGTTTTCTGAATTCAAAAGATTCTAATAACGTTTTACTCTAATCTAACAATCTACTTTATTCTTTCATTTATTGAACATTCACTGGTGCCTACTGTGTTAGGGGACTGGGCTGGGCACCAAGGATACCAGTTCTCTGCCCTCCATAATGCAGTATAGCACTAGAGTCACATATTAAGGACTTCTTGCAGAAGGAATGAGCAAAGGCAAGTGAGAATGAAAACAAGTGGCACCTCAGATAGGACATGACCTGAAAAGGAAGGTCACAGTGTTACGCAAGGGATTGGAATACCATGGTAAGGCTGGCCTTTACCCTACACGTAATGGGAAACACTGTGTGGTTTTAAACAGAGGCATGAGGCGCTATCATGGATTGAATTATGTCCCTCAAAAAATATGTGTCAACTTGGTTAGGCCAGGATTCCCAGTATTGTGTGGTTGTCCTCCATTTTGTGACTGTAATTTTATGTTAAAGAGGATTAGCGTGGGATTGTAACACCCTAACTAAGGTCACATCCCTGATCCAATGTAAAGGGAGTTTCCCTGGGGTGTAGCCTGCACCACCTTTTATCCTACAAGAGATAAAAGGAAAGGGAAGCAAGCAGAAGTGGGGACCTCATACCACCAAGCAAGCAGTGCCAGGAGCAGAGCACGTCCTCTGGACCTGAAGTTCCTAAGCTGGGATGCTCCCGGACCAAGTGAAGATTGATGACTCGGACCTTCCTCTGCAGCCAACAGAAAGGGCCTTTCCCTAGAGCTGACACCTTGAATTTGGACTTGTAGCCTTCTAGACTGTGAGAGAATACATTTCCCTTTGTTGAAACCATCTCTTACAGCAGCAGTAGATGACAAAGACAGGTACCAATGGCTGTGTTTTAAAAAAGCAGATAATTCAGGTGGCCTTAACAGGATAGCCTGGGAAAGGAAGGAGGGTGGCTGAGGAAAAGGAGTAGAGACAACAGAGAGGAACTCTTTGAGATGGGCTGGTGAGACAAGATGAGGGTCTGAACAAAGCTGAGGGACTAGTTACAGATGAGGCTCTGATCTGAGACATAATGCAGAGGTCTCAGAGACAGATCTTGGCAACTGGGTAAAAACGGGGTGAGAGAAATGAGAGATCATTCTGACGCTTCTACCTTGGAATCTCTGCATGATGTTTGTATAAGAGGATCATCTATACTTAAGGACTGGCACTGAAAACAGATCCAGGGAAGGATAAAGAGAAGATTCAGGAGAAAAATCAAGAGGATGGAGAGATGAAGAATAAATAAAGGCCACTAGTGACCACTACGAAAGCAATGTAAGGAGAGTAAAAAGACTGAACAATAACAACAGGAAGGGTGCTTATTATGTGGCAGGTGCTTCTTTGCTATACACGTACTAAGTTATTTAAACTTCACAAGTGTGGGATGGGACCTTCGGAGGAGAGTCAGAGTAGACAAGTAGAGAACAGGCATTGTGGGAAAGGGGGTGGAGAATCGACCCAGAAAGAGTCCAAACTTTTCCGAGAGAACAGTACTGAAGGCCTAGCAGAGAAAGGTTTAATTTTAACTTTCATGTTTTTATGAAAAATTAATCCTTGAAAAAAATAAATATAACTTCTAAAATAAGCCTATAATATCATTTAAGAGTGTGACAGTTAATTTTATGTGTATACTTCACTAGCTGTGATTCTCAGTGGTCTGGCCAGATACTGAACTGGTTGCTGTTCCATAATGCAATGTAATCTAATGTAATTACCTTCCATGATGTAATCTGATGTGATCAAGCAATCAGTTGAAAAGGAAGTTTCCTTAGGGTTGTGGTCTACCTCAGAATATAACCAGATATTCTGGCAGAGCTTGTTCTCTTTGGACACCGCATTCTTCTCATAGCCTGACCTATGGATCTTGGGATGTGAGCCTGCAGAAGTCTCTGGCCTGCCCCCTGACCTATGGATCCTGGGACATAAGCCTACAGAAGTGTCTGGCCTGCCAACTAACCTATGGATTTTGGACCTGCCAGCCCCACAATTGCATATATTTTATATTTATATATTTATACATATATTTATCTATGTATATGTATGTATGTGTATATGTACATGTACCTGATGTATATTTCACTGGTTTTGCTCCTCTAGAGCAAACTAAGGAGCCAACTAAGACAAAGAGCTACATTTTTCCTAACACAAACTTACTGAATTATGTTGCTTCAAATATTCTGCAGCATCTTCTTCTGCATTACCACCAATTTCACCAATCAGTAAGATGCCTTCTGTGGCTGGATCTTTGAGAAAGACTTCAAGGCAGTCAATAAAATCTGTTCCATTAAAAGGATCACCTCCAATGCCTGAAAAAAATCAAAGAATAGCAACACCAATTGATAATAAGAAGGAACCATGGAATTTAGGTCAAGAAATGCTGTTTCTACAGGTTTTCTTATATTTTGCCACCCCTTTTCCCCAGTTTTAAGAAATATTATCTCCACTCTTGCATTTAATGTTAAGACAATCACAAAATGCTACATTTATTTCTGTTTGTAATATAACAAGAATGCTAAATGGTGGTTGGTTCCTGAGACTCACACAAGACAATCCTCTTTTAGTTTCAGCTCCTTTATCAAGTCTCTTCCCTATCCCAAAATTATTCACACATAACTTTTTAAATATGAGCATTTTAAGAAAACATGTCTATATTGCAAGCTGATGTTACACCAGAGGCAAGAAAAAATGTCTTCTCTGATTACCAATTTAATAATTTGCACAATGGAACTATTTGATAAGGCATACTGCAGAGGAACCATTCACAAGTTTTAAGAAACAAGTTCCAGTGAGAGAGAGAGTGGAAGGTGTCGAGACCCCCTTAGATCCAGAGTGGGTGAAACACAGCCTGCATATAGGGGCTCTACTACAAGCACGTGACAACTATAAATGAGTATTTGCACAGGATTAAAGTAAATGCTCCCTATAGACTGGCTATCACTTTTTAACTTTTAAATTATAAACTTACTGAGGGCAGGATTAATTTCTTACTTTTCAGTACATCACTGAAAAACAAAGTTAAGGAAGGGAACTAGCATTTATTAAGTGCCAGCTATGTGCCTCAGTACACATTAGGCCTGTTATTTCCAAATTCTCCCAACCTCTCTGAGATAAGCATTGTTCTCCTCAGTTTACAAATTAAAAACTGCAGCTGGGGAAGATGGAATTGGCAAGCCTGTCTCAAAACGTGTTCTTACTCTCCATCCTACTAAGTTACTTTACGTTTAATACAGTGTTTTGCACATAGAAAGGCTCAGTTGATGTTTACAAAACTGAGTTTACAGATTTGAATCTTAATAAAAATACCCCAGGGTTATATTTTATAATTTTTTTATTACAAAAAAAAATACTATTTTTGAAAGGTTTTTAAAAGGTAGTCTAAGGAGTTGAAGGAATATTTATAAAAATGAGAGAAATGTACCTGCTTTTTTTGTCACAAACACTGAAATAATTTTAAAATGTAAAAATTCGTTGGAATTTTAGTTTTTTTTAAGTGGAAGGCAGTATGATGTGACAAAAAAAGACGCTCTGTGGAATTCAACCTTCTTCAACCTTGATTTTCTCACCAATAAAGCTGTAAGAGTAGAACTTCCCAATTCAGAGGCGGTTCGGAGGGTTGCCTTGAGAATTAGGTAATGAATGGCAAAGAATTAAGTAACTGTGAAACACCTGACATAATTATGATAACAAAAGTCCTAGCAAGAAGAACCATTTGTTTTCCCAGCAAGCAATGTTTAAGTGATGTGTTCAGGCACCAATGCTCTCCTCTGAGGGCCACATGACCTAAAATATTTGTTCCTCAACACAGAAATCAAATCTTGGACTATGAATCTTGAAAAAATATAGAAGAGTTTTACACTTAATCAAATTTAAGATCACAAAATCCTTTTAATAAGATGACAGCAAATACTCTTGCGAATAATCTAATCAGTAATTATTACTGTACTCATTCAATGAAGATACTACACTCCAATAAAATAATTTTAGCAAAAAATCCCTCACCAACACACAAAGACTGCCCCAATCCAACTTGCGTTGTTTGGTGAACTGCTTCGTAAGTCAGGGTGCCAGATCTGGACACAATACCTTAAAGAAAGAGAATTAAAAAACATTAGACTGTGTTTAAATAATAGACTATCATACAGTCAACTAAATGGGTATATATAAAATACATGCTAACATTTTCAAATGTAAAATAAGAAAAAACTTTAAGAGGTTTTAAAAGTTATTAGTTATTGCTCTTTTATGACTACAAAAACAGTGCAAGAAAGACCTAAATTACCTCTTCTGAGAATATTCATGAAGGGTATAATATCAGGATGAACTTGGTAGGTATATCCTGCTTACGGGTGGCAGAACATAATGTGGCAGACTTAACAGATACCCAAACTATTAAACTACCAAAACCTTCAGCCTGCAAAACTAGGATTAGTCGAGATGCTTCCCTCCAAAACTATTTTCCCAATTATTTTCAAACAACATATGGGCTTTAAAACTAATATAAAGAAAACTGGGGAATAAGGTCAAGATCCCTCTGGATTCAAGTCTACCACCTAATTTCCTTTTAAAATGGGCGTGTGTGAAAGCACCTAATTTTACATCTGGACAAGGTGTGTGTACATGGGGGTAGGGAGGGGTGTGACAGAAGCTGGTGTCTTCTCTTTGGTCCACCACAGACGTTTTCTCTTGTAGTTCACTATGCTTGGCTGATTTACAGGAAAACAATTTATTCCAAGCACAATCTACACAGTATTTTAGAACAGGAAACATGTAATAAGTAGATCCTCAATTTTAAGGGGTTGACAAGCATGAATGAGTAACTTCAGTTGTTAGAATGTTTTATATAAAATATTTAAACACCTAAAAGACATGACTATGTTTTGGGGTTAAAGACTATGTTACAGACTAAAATCAGATCATCGACTCTGGAGTGGTGAATAATTTCAGGGTGTCCATGAATGCTTTCTTTAAACTTCTGCCTCAGAGCATTCTTTAAAGACACAAAGTTTTTTTCTAACAATATGATCCCCCTATCAGGGCAATCAGAATTTCTGTCACACTGACAAAAATCATAACCATAAGTGTGATTGTCGCTGCACATTTGCTGGGTACTAGCCATATGATCTGTGCAGAAACACCCACCTTCTAACTATGAATTTGGGTACACGTAAGTTCAGATGCTCTGCATAAACCAGTCGAAGTGAAAGAAAGGCACACGTGTGTATCTTGGTCACTGCTAGACAGTACCCTACACAGCACTGTCAGCATGCTCTTGTAGGTTAATCCCACCAGACAGTGACAGCTATAAGCATGCCACTCCCCAAGGAGGCCTCACTTCATATGGAACTCTGCACCAGCTCCCCAGCCTAGCAGAGCTCCAGCTCACCCCTCTAGATCTGTTGCCATTATTTCCCTACTCTAGTGAAACTGTTTTATTCTTCAATTATACTTCATGTTTTCCTATCTTTTCACATTTGCTCTGCGTAACACAGAGCCCCTCACTTCCATCATGTGACAAAAATCTAACTATCCTTCATGATCCATATTAAAAGCTTAAACGTGACTTTCTCCTTGAGGTCTTTCCTGATCTCACTCCCAGACAGATGTGAGACATGATCTTTCCTTTCTCTAAACCTTCTCAGTTATGAAAGGTCCACAGAGGAGGGACTGCTAAGGAGAGAAGATGCAGATGGATGAAGACTCTAAGAACAGGGGAGATAAACGAGACAGTAGTGGGGTGGGGTTGTAATGAATTAGGATCCAGTTACTGAATGGTCTTAAAACTACTGGAATTGGAGTTTGCTGAAGAAGGTGGTAGTGCTCCATTGAAGGGTTTTCAGTTTTGACCTATTTGTAAATATTTACTGAGCACTTTCTGTGCCAGGAACTGTGCTCAATACTGAGAACACAGGGGTGAGGAAAACAGTCTTCTTTATTGACATGAAGGTTACAGTCTAGCAAGGAGGATAGTCACTGCAGAGGTAGAACACCTCTGGGGGGTCTCTTACTGACCCAGATGGTAGGAACACAGTGTTCTTAATTGGAGAGTCAGAGGGTTGTCAGGATACAACTGGATATTCAGATTTCAGGCTCACAGGGCAAGCAGGAGGGTGGGTGTAACTATAAAAGAGCAACATGAATGATCCTGTGGTGACAAAAGTGCTCTAAATATTGAGTGTATCAACGTCAATAACCTGATTGTGACACTGTACCACAGTTTTGCAAGATGTTACCAAGGGGACACATTGGGTAAAGGGTACACATGATTTCTCTGTATTATTTCTTATAACTACATGTGAATCTATACTTATTTCAATATGAAAATTTTTTAAAAAGGATGGAAGAGTCAAGTATGTTATACGTGACTGAAAGTACAGAAATACAGTAGAGTTAAATTTTATCTATTTGGAATTCAGTCACCTCCTTCAATACATTCAATTAGCTGATACACAATTTTATCAACTGTCATTAACACAAACTGGAAAGCCACTAATACTATTATGCCATCATGTTATATTACGTCCCTTCAGAAAAACTCACAGAACCGAAAACCCCCCCTTTCCCTAATCTGCAACTTAAAGATCTGAAGTCAATGAGGCTACTGAGAATATCAGCGCTGGGATCAAAACAGCAACAGTCAGTGCACAATCAACTTTTCTCCCCTTATCTCCTCAAAAATCTTATAGCATAACATTTTCTTTTAGGTGAATATTTAAAAAAAAGAAAAAGGCCTCATCAATGTTAGGGCCATTCAGAGAACCAAGGTCTAAAGGCTGTCCTCTAATGTCTCTTAATTTTTTGTTTTTGTGTGCTTATGGGCACCTTAGAAAGCAGGGCAGTATTCAGAAAGATCATTAAGCACAGGACACTCCTTCCATACTCACTTCAAGACTGCAGCAGCAGCCACTCAACGCAGACCAAAGAGGATAAACAGTACTCAAATATGTACTAGAACATCAGTGACTACAAGGATCACGCCACACCCACTGGCACGCAGCTGGACTATGGCGCCCCTGTAACTCTTATAAGGCAACTTGATAAGCTGTCTGGCAGCCAGGCTGATAACTCTAAGAGACAATAGTAATTTAAAAAAAAAAAAAAAAAGACCTTTAACCTACTCCTATAAATGATGCAACCCACATTCACTCACTATGTTGATTATTCTTGCTTAGTATTAATGTAGCCACGGTTTATAGATAAAGAAAATACTGAAGCCATCTATTATTATCAAGAAATGGAATAGCTAAGTGAGAGTTAAGTGTGAAGATTTTAAAAATAGGCATAAGGTGGCTAATTTTGAAATACTAATTTGGCTATTTTCTCAAAGAGCTAAACAAGCAGCAGTACAATTTCACCAATACATTTTGAGAAAGTTTGTGATATCCAAAAAAGCAAAGTAAAAATAAATTTGAATTTGTGGAAAAGACACAGAAAAGCTAAACATACGCATATAGCACATATACCTGCACATGTATCCAACAAAGGACTTACATCCAGAATATTTATGGAACCTCTACAATTAACAATAAAAAGACAAACAACCCAATAAAAATAATGAGCAAAAACCTTGAATAGATACTTCATAAAAGAAGATATATGAATGGCCAATAAGCACAGGAAAAGATGTTCAACATCATTAGTTATCAGGAAAACTCGTATTAAAACCACAATAAGATACCACTGTACTCCCAGTAGAATGGCTAAAATAGACTGGCAATGCTAAGCGTTTGAGAAGATGTGAAGCAGCTGGGACTCTCATACACTGAAGGTGGAAATGTAGAATGATACAGCCATTTCACAGAATATTTGATAATTTCCTTAAAAGTTAAACATACTTCTACCCTATTACCTAGTAATTCCATTCCTAGGTAGTTTACCCAAGAAAAATGAAAATGTGGCCACAAAAAGACCTATACACAAGATGTTCACCTTGGCCTTACTCATAAAGGTCCAAACCTAAAAGCAACCCAAATGTTCATTAAGGGAGAATGGATAAACAAACTGTGGTATAATCATACAATAGAGTACTAAAAACAAAACAAACAAAAAAACTCATTGCCGTCAATTACGACTCATAGTGACCCTACAGAACAGAGGAGAACTGCCCCATAGGGTTTCCAAGGCTATAATCTTTACGGAAGCAGACTGCCACATTTTTCTCCTGTGGATCAGCTGGTGGGTTCAAACTGCTGACCTTTCGGTTCGCAGCCAAGCACTTAACCACTATGCCACCAGGGCTCCTAATACAGTACTACTCAGCAATAAAACGGAACCACTGAAACATGCAAACATACAGAAGAATCTAACAGCATGCTGAGCAGTAAGAGAATCTTCAAAAACCCTAGAAAATATATTCACTGATTCTGTAGAATCATAATTGCTTCACAAATAAACTCATTCAGTTCAGGCTACAGAATCAATTCACTACGAAACTGCTCTGGTAACTTCAAGTTAAATTAATTAAAATGAATGTGATTTGCATAGTCACAAATTTTCCTTACGAGTTTTGAGAGTTTAAGGTAAAGACCTTTTTTTTAGCCTATAAGAAAATAACAAAATACTTACCAACTCTTCCTTTCTTGTGAATATGCCCAGGCATGATACCAATTTTACATTCTCCAGGCTGAAAATAAATCAAAGTTTCAGAGAAGGAAAAAAAACAAAGTAATTCAGAGGTCAAATACGCTTGGACTGACTCAAAGCTGGCTAGCCTCGTAGGAGGCGAAATCTGGGCTTATTTGTATTGTTTACACTCACATTGATGACTCCAGGGCAGTTTGGCCCGACCAGCCTTGTCTTTCCCTGGCGCAGCAGCGCGTGCTTGACCCGTACCATGTCCTGCTGGGGAATACCTTCGGTAATGCACACAACCAAGGGCATTTCTGCCTCAAGAGCTTCATTAATTGCAGCAGCAGCAAAAGGAGGAGGGACATAAATAACAGATGCTGTCGCTCCTGTCTTTTCTTTGGCCTGAAACATTAACCACAAAGTACTTTATTTACTGGTTAAGTCATAAACACTATAAAATAAATTCAATCCCATGATTGTAAGAAGGTCTTGGGGCCAGGAAAGGATATCACCAGGAGACAAATGTCTTCACTCTTGCCATGCTCAAGTTCAAGTTCACTAGGCTGTCCAAAAAGAGCACAATCAAGAGTGGCCTTGTCTCTGCCCCTGTGAGTCCCAACGTGGACTGACAGGTTTTGAGACATCTCATTCCCTCAGGTGACGGCATGTCAGTAAACCCAAAAGTACGGCCTGATTTGTGTTGGTGTCCCCTCATTCCTGTGGCCAGATCTATTTTTGTTGTTCTACTCCAGACTCCCACCCACTGCCACTGAGTGAATTCCAACTCATAGCAACCCTATAGCACAGAGCAGAATTGCCTCATAGGGTTTCCAAGGAGCGGCTGGCAGATTCAAACAGCTGACCTTTCAGTCAACACTCAAGCCCTTAACCACTAAACCACCGGGCTCCAAATCTGTCTTGGAAGAAGTACAACCAGAACGCTCCTTAGAAGCAAGGATGGCGAGACGACTACTCACATTCTCTGGACGTGTTGTCCGCAGGGATCAGTCCCTGGAGAAGGACATCATGCCTGGTAAAGCAGAGCGTCAGCGAAACAGAGGAAGACCCTCAAGGAGATGGACTGACACAGTGGCTGCAACAATGGGCTCAAACGTAACGATCATGAGGATGGCGCAGGACTGGGGTGTTTTGTTCTGTTGTACACAGGGTCGCTATGAGTCAGAACCGACGTGACAGCGCCTAACAACAACTGCAGACTCATGCTGACTAAGACATGGTACCAACTATCAAGGACCAAAGACCTTACACCTTCGCAGGAGAACAAGAACTACTGAGCTCCCGAGCCCTCTGAACTCGTTCTCAAACATCTGTTTAAAAATCATGATACTTAGTAAACCTTATCAAGAGGCAGCAAAAAGGAAGTTTTTTTTAGCTGACTTTTTACCCTAAATGTATGTTTATTAGAAAGAAAGAAATCTAACTAAAATGCACATGCATAAATGTCCACAGAATAAGAATACAGGTCAAATAAGCATTAGGTTCTACTGCTATATGACCCCTCATAATCCATGCAAAGCACTTGGAGATCATTTATCTGACCACTGTTCTTCTCTCCGCGACCATGAGCCTGCATCTGGTCTTTCATACTCTCTACATGTATCAATACAGATGCATCCCTCTACCCACATCTATGTGTGGCCATGTCTCTCCCACCATAACCTAAGCTCCTTGAAAACACAGACTGTCAGTGATCTCTGACTCCTACTCTAATAGGGCCTGTGAAAGGATCTCATTTAAGGCTTCACCACAACCCTGCACACTTATTATCCCTGTTTGACAAATCATGATACTGAGGCCAAGAGATATTAAATAATTTGCACAAGGTCACATAGCTAGAAAGTGGCAGAATCAATATACAAACCTAAGTATGTCTGATTCTAAGGCCTATGCTCTTTTCAGTTACAGTAGGCCGCCTCCTATAATGTTAAAACTATAACTTGATCAAGCTATAAATCAAAACTTTTAGCAAGGCTATGCCACAGGATTCCATAATGGATATGAATGCTAAGCTAGAGAACATACAGGTACAACTAGAAGGGGGAGAAGTAAAAGACAGTGTCTTTGAGAATCATCCTTGAACAATCCCCCACGGCCCCAAGATGGAGGCGCTTTCTCTATTGTATCCCTAATAAAAAGAAGCATCTTGACAGCGAGAGAAGAACAAAGTCAAGAGGATGCTGACAGATCATCCACAAATAATGTCAGGAGTTAAAAATAATTTTTCAAAACCTCTGGTAATGGTGAGGGGGACGGGGGAAACAAAAGAAATAAAAACTTAGCTGGAACCAAAACAAGTCAGATCACAGGCATGCAGGTATTTTACTGAAAATACATCTACCTCTTAAGGCTACGAATACTGGTAGAAGCTGGACTATGACAACAGATACAGTGCTGGCAAGTGATACTGGATGAAAGGTTTCCATTCTACCCATTCAGAAAACTATTTGTAAAAGCTGAATGGTAAGAAATAAACAATACCTGTCAAAGAACTTTCAGAATATTCCAAATGCCACATCTAGTGTTTGTATTACTAGGAAACCCTGGTAGCATAGAGGTTAAGAGTTCGGCTGCTAACCAAAAGGTGGGCTGTTCGAATCCACCACGCGGTCCTTGGAAACCCTATGGGGCAGTTCTACAGTGTCCTATAGGGCTGCTATGAGTCAGAATCGACTCAATGGTGACGGGTTTGTTTGTTTTTTTTTAATGAATAATAAATGGATTGCACAGTAACATTAACTGTCATTAAAAAACGGCAAAAAATAAAAATAAAAAGGTTCATGACAAAAGAAGTCTACCAAGAGGAATTCTGAAAACAACTCTTCTCTATATTTTAAGGTCATAAGTCAGCGATAATAAAATTTAGAGGAAAAAAGAAACTTAAGACAATTAAAGCAAAAAGACCTTAAATGATCTCTCTACAGAACATACAATTTATTATTTTTTACTTTTTAAAATACAGTACACTTTGAACACACACATACAAACACTACATATATAAGTCCATCCTATTTTCAAGTTTAAAGTAAAATGAAAAATCTAAATTTGATTAATATTTTCTTCTTATAGTTTAGGATTAAACTTACAAATTAATATCAATTTGAGGTTAGTACTCTGAAAAGAGATTAAACCTATAAATTTGTACTTGAAAAATATATAATACTTCAAAACATAAAGTGTGTTTTAAAAGGGGAGAGGGGTGCATTTTTATCATCAATACATCAATTCTAAATATTTATTATTTCCTAGATTTTTTTAATTAAACAGTCAAGAATGTACACTAGTTTTTTTAAAAATACTATTATTTTTGCATATATTCATATAAATGTAGTAAAACAATGGAATACACACGAGTTTAAATTAGCTCTCTACAGAGGCAAAATCTGAGATGGAGAAAACACTATGAAATTTTATATACACCTTTATATCATATGACTTTTTACACTAAGTATATATTAGTCCTATGCAAAAGAATTAAAGTTCAGTTTAAAAATCATTTTAAAAGTATTATTAAGAAATCAGCAATCTGGAGAGGAATCTGATTTGTCACTGACTCCACAATTTCCTTTTTCTGCACAGACTCATCATGTTATTTCGAATGCTGAGCCTGTCACTTACCAGCTGTGAGACCATGGGCAGGATCCTGAGCCTCTCAGCGCCAGTGTCCCTGTCTATAAAATGGGGATGATAACAGCACCTGTCTCACAGGGTGCTGAGGCCTAAGTGGGCCAATATATAAGCAGCACTTAGCTGACTGCCTGGCACACAGGCACATTCAGTGTCAGGGAGTGGTGGCTGACAGGTGCACTACTAACATCCTGGAAACTAAAGGGTAAGAAAAGAATAATAGGGCCGACAGAAGCCAGGCCACAACACTTCTTCCCTTAATAGCTGATGTGTGCCTATTAACAAAAATGACACAGGCTGTGGAGAAAATATCTTTGAATTTGAAGAAAACCATCTGGTGCCTTAAGTTGGATCTCTCTAGAGTTCTCAAGTAGAGAAAGCACATAAACTCCACAAAGATGACACAGGCCAAATCAAAAATCTCCACTGTTTCTGGGAAGAGAACAGCATTTACTTCTCTGAAGCTCTGTAATCCTGCTGTGTGAACGGATAACACGAATTAGGTGCAGATACTCAGGTTCCTGCCGTGGAGATGGTCAATGCAAACAGAAAAGTACCAGCACATCACCCTTTGCACTGTGCATCCAGCAAAAATGGCAACGGGGTGGAAGTGGGGTGCTACAGGATAAGGAGGGGATGGTGACGGTTTAGGAATCTACCAAGAAAGGCTCTGGAATTTATTAATGGCAGCGGGAGGAGGTCCTGTACTACCAAACAGTCCTCACTGACAGGACTAAGGTGAACCTACTGGTTTTTACTTCAATTCCAATGTCTCTAGGTTACTGGATTTTAAAATACCAAGTGTCTCTCCCAAAAGGGACCCAATTAAGATCTCTACCCAAAGTATGCTCACTTTTCTCCCGCTTTTCTTTTCTTACCAAACTCAGTTACCATTAATTACCTCCTTCACAGTATTAAAGACAGGTAAGTCCAGATGCATCTTGCCTCCTTTCCCTGGGGTTGTTCCTCCAACAAGTTTGGTGCCATAGTCTAATGCCTTTTGGCTGTGAAAGGTGCCCTGGGGGGAAAAAAGCACAAGACCCATGAGAAAAGCAGGCTGGGAAGAGCCTGAAGAGAAGCAATGTCAATCTTAAGCAACTTAGGAAAAGAAAAACAAATAGGTTAACTATTTCCTAGAGTACAACAATGAATATATCCAGCATTCTCATCAACTTACTAAACACGGCTTTGAACCCTGAAGTGAAACTCTGCAAGGCCAAAATAGCTGTATTCCATTTCCAAACCTGGCTGATGATCAGAAATACCCCAGTACTTATTTAAAAGAACACCTTCTTTTCACTGTTCCTCAACTACTGACGTCCTCATACTTCTCTTTACCTGTTTAAAATCCACGGTCAATCATTACACTCACACAACAACCTTGTTTCTCTCTCACTTCAACTTACACGACTGGCAAATTTACAACCTTGGTTAAATCCAATTCTCCACCTACTCTGAAACTGCACACAGGTAGCCAAACAGTGGCTGGAGAAAAAAACAAATTGGTCACACTGTCATGATCACTAACCTTAAGTGAGCCTTTACTGCTGCCCAGCGAACATCCTGTATTTATGTATTCACTCACTCTCCTTCCATCTAGTGCAAGGTTTCTCAGCCCTGGCACTGCTGACATTCCGGACAGGATAATTCTTTGTTGTGGGAGGTTGTCCTTGCTTTGTGGGATGTTTAGCAGCATCCCTGATGGTATAGCATGGCCTCTACCCATTAGATGCCAGTAGCACACCAGTTTTGACAACCCAAAATATCTCCTGGCATTGCCAAATATCCCCTGGAGGGTAAAATCACCCCTAACTGAGAACCACTGTCCTAGATGATCATTCACGCCCTCTCCTCTCTCCTCCACATCTGATACTTAACAGGCCATCCCCACTCTCAGCTGAAAACCTTGCTTCCTATATCACTGAGGAAATAGGCCCTTAGGAAGACGAGAACTTTTACAAGCTCCTATCACCACATCTATCCACCTACCCACACCCATTCATACATATCCTGTCTTCTCTGTTTTCATGTAAGAACTGCTTGTGCTCTGAGCTAAATCCAATCCTTCCGCTTGTGCAATAATCCCAACTCCTCTCATCTACAAAAGGGCATCACTCTGGCCATTCTCCCCATGTTTTCCGCTATATCATCCATACATTCATGGTGTCATTTCTCTCACCTCTCCACTGAAACTGCTCTTATCAATGTTTCCAGTGATCTCCATGTTGCCAAATCCAATGGTCAGTTCTTAGTCCTCATCATACTTGATCTATCTCTCAGCATTTATAATAGTTCATCATCCCCCCTCCTTAAAATATTCTTTTTCACTCAGCCTCTAAGGCTCCATCTCTCCTGGTTTTACTCTTTTTTCTCTCTCTTTAGACTTCTTCTCTTTCCCATCTAAACTTGTGCCCTTGATGATTTCATTCCATATCGCGGCAATAAATATCATCCATACAGTGACCACTCCCATACACATACATACTCATATACACACACACAAACACACACACAGACACACACACACCCCACATATCTGGTCCAGATTCTTGCCTTGAACTCTATAATCATGTTGCCTACTGCCTACCTGGTATCTCCAGTTGGAGAACTAGTCACCATCTCCAACTTAACATGCCCAAACTGAGTTCCTGATCACTCCCCTCCACTGTCGACTTACAACAGATGTTCACCAAAAATACTAAGATCATCCTCGATTCTTCTCTTTCTCTTATATCCCACATCAGATCCATTAGTAAATCTCATTTACTTTAAAAATCTGACAACTTCTCATCCCTTCCACCACTATCAACTTGGTCTAAGTCACCAATATCTCTTGACAGATTATTGCCCTTGTTCTTTTCCAATCTATTCTCAACACAGCGTCCAGAGCCATCCTGTAAAACCTAAGGAAGATCATGTCACACCTACACTCAAATCCTCTGATGGTTTTCTATTTCATTCACAGTAAAAGCCAAACTCCATACAATGGCCTACAAGTCAGTACACAACCTGCCTCCCTACATCAGAACCCCCTACCTGCCTGACCTCATTTACTATTCTCTCAGTGCTCATTCCACTCCAGCTACCACACTGGCCTTGCAGATTCCACACACAGCATGCACACTCCTGCCTCAAGGCCTTGCTGTCCCCTTTACCTGGAATGCAGTTCCTCCTAGATCTCAGTATGGTTCACTCCCATATCTCTTTTAGATCTTGACTCAAGAGGCCAGGCTTTCCCTGACCACTTGGTATAAAACCGTCACCTCCCCAACCCCCGTACACACACACACGCACACACCTCTTTTCCCTGGTTTATTTTTTCCATAGCATTTAGGCCTTCTAACGTACCGCATAATTTACTCATTGATTTTGTTGATACGTTTTTCTCCCCACTACACAAAAGTGTAAATTCCATGAGGGCAGTAATTTTTCCTGCTTTGTTCACTGCAATATGGCACCTAAACCAACACTTCAAATAGTTGTTAAAAAAAAATTACTGGATCTCTGTGGTCATTCTACAGGGACCAAAAATCCTGCCCCAACTACTTAAGTTCTATTAAAGGTATAAAAATTGGAGTTTTAAGAGGGACTTTGGAAATTCTCTGATCCAACTTCCTCCTCTGTCAAAATAGGAAACTTGGCCCCAGGAACGTTAACTGACTTGTCTAAGGTCAGCTGCAGAGTTCTGGAAAGAACCAAGGGCCAGTGGTCTCCCCCGTTAGAGCAGTGCCATGCAACGTGTGGTCCGCAGACTCTCGCTGGTCTGCAATGAGGTAAGAGAAAAAAGAAAACTAAAATGACAAAAAAGGAAAGAATAAATAATTAAAGCAAGAAAAGAAAAAAACTAATAACAAAAAGTGAGTGTTTGCAAACTTTCATAGCAGTATAATATTGCTATCACTTTTATGGTACTTTACAAAAGTATTGATCCACACTGGCTTGAAAATTAATAACAAACAACAAAACCCAAACTGGTCTTTTGCCCCAATTTGAGAAGCACTGCCTTAGACTACACTGCTAGGTAAATTCAAATGGACCGATATTTTCAGTCCTTCATATAGTGATAAACAGGGATAACACTTCCACTCAGAGTAAGTTTATTTTCCTTAGTTTTCTCATTCTCACCAGCCAGTCCCACAACTAAGAATACGAACAGTTTTAGCAGCTCATAAAAGCCAGTACAAGAAATTAGATGGCACTCATTGAAAATCTGCATTGCTGGAATCTACTCTGAAATACAAATATTCCTCATTCAAATGCAGAACAATGTGTACACTGAAAAAAACAGAACAAGATGAAATGCAGATTTCCTGTGATGATAAGCCCTAAATTTCAGACTTCATCATTACTTCCACAGTAACAGAATCTGAATCAACAAATGTGAGACAGTTCAGATTCTCAATTACTTAAAATAAAAAAAAATACAAAACAGATTTTCAAGTTCTCATGGAATCGACTTTCTAGAGCTATGGAGGCTGGATAAACCCAAACTATTGCCCTGAGATCATCTTTAAACCTAAAACCAAAAATATTCCCTGAAGTCTCCTTAAAACCAAACAACAGTGTAGCTTAACACATAAAGAATGTCTGCCTGTAGCACTGTGCTTTTTTAAGAGCTATCTATACGGTATCAAATGGACAAGAGCAACTCAAAAGGTTACATAGGAAACTTAGGGACTAGTGAGTTTATGGTAATGGGGGAAGAACAATTCAGAAAAGGAGAGTGAGATGGTTGTATAACTTGAAGAATGCAATCAATATCACTGAATTATACATGTAGAAATTGTTGAATTGGTCTATGTTCTGCTATGTATATTCTCAACAACAAAAAATAAAATAAATTATAGAAAAAAATAAACTTGGAATTTAGGGGAAAAAAAAACAAACATGGAAAGTAAATGAGAAACAATGTAACTGCAGGTAGCTGAAACCAAACCCAGATTTAAACATTTAGGCAAGCCATCACCTAATTTAAGAAGCAGAGACAGTTCCAATAGTGCGTACAACATGGACAATGAATGGTTCTTTCAAAAAAGTTTACAGGTTAGAATGTCATGAGATCATATAAAGTTTAGCAAAAAGAAAATCATACATAATAAACTTAGGTGAGGAATTTGAGTTAACTGAACATTTCTGTGCTAACAAAATTAATATATGACCAAAAAAGGGGCTGGTTATGATTTCATTTAGGAGAGGAGTGATACCATACACTTCAAATCTTAGATGAGCATCTACTTTCTTCAGAATGTTCCCAGTGGAAGTGATACTAACAAAATGTCTGGCTATCAAAATAACTAAACCAATTTTACCAATGAACAAAATGTCAGGGTTTTGGGAAGTTTGTTTTTTGTTGGTGGTGGATTTTTTTTAAAGATAGTAGACGAGCAGAAGAAACGTCTACTGCAACACAGATTTTTGTGCCCAGTTATTTAAGGAAAAAAGTAAAAAAGCAAAAGGACATTTTACATGAAAAAACCTTCTAACCAAATTCATTAAAAAAAAAACACAAAAACTATGTAATTTTAAAGCAGTTTCTAACAGTTTTACAAACAAACATGTAGAAATTTGTTTGTTTAGATACGATCCTCTAAATCAGGGGCTGGCAAACTGGCCTGTGGGATTTAGCCTACCACCTATTCTTATAAATTAAGTTGTAAATTAGGTTTTATTGGAACACAGCCATGCCCATTAATTACCACACTCTCTTATAGCTGCTTTTGCTACGAAAACGCTGTCAACAGAAACTGTATGACCTGCTAAGCCTAAAATACCTACTATCTGGCCCTTTACAGAAAAAGTTGCCAGCCCCTGCTCTAGATCACCAAAATACTGCAGAACTGACATGACAATTCTTTTAATTACAGAAAAACCATTAACTGCTTTTATCCTGTCATATCTCCTTTAAGAATAAAGAAAACGATACTTTGGGTTTAAGACACATGGTATATTCTAATGGATTTGGTAGTATTCACTCATTTTTTTAGATCTGCGTATCTACTATGGTGGAAGTATAAATTCGCACGAATTTCTTAAAAATTTTAAATACACAGAACCTTTGACGCCCAATTCTACTTTTAGGAATCTATTTTATAGACATATATATTATGTGTATGATATATATTATAAACTGTATATTATTACAATATATTGTTGGGTAGAATAAACTCTGTAAGACACCCATTATATAAACTTGTCTCGATGTGCAAGAAAAATATCTTGAAGGATACATGCCAGTTTGTTAACAGAGGGAAATCGTGAGGAGTAGAATGATAGAAAGGAAGATGTGAAAAGAGTCTCATGTTGCATTTTATGTGGAATCACATCACAGACACATTTAAACTCATGCAAATTCCATGATGGGGGAGAGGGAAAGAGAATAAATATGAATGAATGAGAATGAATTAAAACATGTCAGGCAATTTGGCCTGCACACCCCCTTGAAGAGCATTTGTTACAGAGAAGAGTGTAAGGTGGGAAAAGTCAAAGTGCTGCTTACTTGGCCTGTCCTGGTTCCCACGAGCCTCTCTGGGTGTGAGCATTTCCCACACTGAAGGTGGATTCTGTGTCAAACAGTATGTAGTTTTTTGTACGAGGCCTAATCACAAGCCACTCACTTGACCTACGGCTTAATCAAAGGAGCAGTGATCTGTTCCCATGCTGGAGGTAAACTAGATGTGTTGTACTTGCTAAAAAGAGTATGTGGGTCTCCAACATAGTACTGCTATTGTTGTTAGCTGCTGTCAAATTGATCCAATTTTCAAAGTAAGTTTTGCTAAACACAATTTTCATTTTACAGGCTGACTATAGCACCTAATCTCCTCTAAGATACAACCTCACTGCTATACTATCCAATGTTTCTGCAACAATCATGAATTACTACTTTTGGGATATTAAAAAACAGAAAACAGTTACTTTTTTTCATCTCGTTTATACTTTAAAAAAAAAAAAAACAACTAGATACACATACCTGCTTACCAGTGAAACCCTGGCAAATAACTTTTGTATTTTTATCGATATAGAGATGGTTCCGGGAAGACGCATAAGAACAATGTCGAATTCCATTCCGCTGCACTGAAAAGTAAAAAAATATGACACATTATAACTTTTCCCAGCTTTTGGACCATGAATTGAATGTGATGGAAAAAAATAATCCTAATACAAGAGTTATCCTGTAATCATGCATATTGAAATGTCCCTTTTTAAATGAGACATATTGACCATAGGAACAGATTAGACAAAATAGACGTTATTCTACTTCCTAGGATCACCTTTTCACCAAGAACCACAATCTTGAATTCTTATAGCTTTTTCTGAATTGAGAAAGAAAAGCAGAAGTTTATTATTTTCATTCCTCAGAAAGAAAACTCAAATGGGTCAAATTAAACCCAGGGACTGCAAACTACGATCACTGCTCCTACTATCACTCCCACTAACGTCTACTAAACAGCCACACGTTTTCCCCATTTGACCCAACCTTTTAGCCTAACACCCATAAATAGTAAGAGGGCTAAGGGGCAAACTTTGTCACGAGTACTAACCTATTGCCATCCAGTCACTGTGATTCATAGCGACCCTACGGGACAGAGCAGAACTGCTCCAAGGGGTTTCCAAGGCTGTAATCTTTACAGAAGACCCTGGTGGCGCAGCGGTTAAAGCGACTGACTAATAACCGAAAGGTCAGTGATCTGAAACCACCAGAGGCTCCATGGGAGGAAGGTATGACCCACAGAGCAAGAGAGCTGAGTGTCTGTGTGCACGAGGCTTTCTGGGCGAGGGGGGTACTTCTGGGCACTTATACCGGTGGAGCTACTGAGCTTTGGAACACTTGCCCCAGCAGGGCAGATGCGGGCATGAGGCCCAAGGGCCGAGAGGCCATAGGAAGCAGAAGCTGAAGAGACAAGGGACA